AAAAATCCATCGGGAGAAAGGCCGGGGGGAAAATGGGGGGGGGGGGGGGGGGGGCGCTATTTCATTCATTTTGACTTGGACGGAAAAATAAATAATTATTGTGAAGATCACAAGAATACAGAGCTCTTGTGCGGTGTGAGACCGAGGACGGCTGTGGAATTTAAAATCAAAGACGCTTTTGAAATCATAGACAGCACTGCGCATTCACATGTTTCTTTTTTTCTTTTTTTCAGAGATGTGGGGAATTTCAAACATGCAATAGTTTGCTTCATAAGCCAGCTGTGTTCTCCCCACAAGCATGCATTAGTCAGAACATTTACAAAAAATAGGCGCTCTGAAAATATCCTTTAGCTCCCATGTTTAAAAAAAAAAAAAAAAAAAAAGTGGACAAATCCTTTTAACACAAACATTGCTCTTTCATTTCTTCCCCTCATCCGATCTCAGCCCCTGTGGGAAAAAACTTTCTCGGCTGTCACCACAGATATCTGGCCTGGTTTCACAAATAAATAAATATTAGCTGTGGGTAAACAGGCTGTGGAAGCGGCTGGGATCAGTGTAAATGGAAGAAACATCACTTTATTTACCATCGCTGAGCATCTAATTCTCTCTTTCAGCTGCTTTCTTTATCTTGAGAGCAGCCAGCCATTCCAATTTACCGCTCTCAGCTATCTGTCTGCTCCCTGGTAACAATCCTAAACTCACGGTGACAGCCTGTCCTCCTTTGTTCCCTGCCCATTATTGTCATCCTTTCCCTTTGGATTCGCTCAGGGCCCACCGTGCTCATCTCCTTCCTGACCTGAAAATAGTTTCGTTTTGTGTTTGACGCTGCCAGTGAGGCTTTGGTGTGGTGACACAGGAGCAGGTGATCCAAGTCAGACAGATATACAATGACATGCAATAATAGCATTAGAGCCTAGTAAACATAAACCTGTGCATGGTACACCCTGCTCAGGTAGCTTATTATTATTACAGTATTAGTGGTGGGACTTGATTAAAATGTTTAATCGAGTTAATTGCAGGGTCTGTATTTAATCGCACTTTATTGACAAAATGAGCATCATTTTCAATTCAAAAACTCTTAAGAGCTCAACAACAAATTTTATTATTTTTAATCAGTTTTTAGGTTATTCAACTATCAGACTGGTGTAAAGTGATATTATAACCATTCAGCTTTCAAGTGTTTTAGGAACCCACAATCGTTCATGGATCTTTGAACAAACACTTCTGTAGAAATTTGGACTATGGACGTCTGTTCTTGCTGCAACATGTTGTGCATTGAGATGGTGTTTTAGGCTGGAATCGCTCTGGGGATGGACTCCTTTTAGCACAAGTGGAGTGCACCATCCATAGTGCTTTAAGTGTAGGCAATAAGCTCAACCTTTGATGTCTTTTTTTTCTCATTCTTCCCTTTTGCTGAATTTCAGGCATAATAATGGAGAAGGGTGGTTGCTTAAATGTGCCATGAGGAGAAGCTTTAGATTCATGAAAATAATTGATCTTTTTACTGGTAAAAAAAAAGAAAAAAAGGAAAATGTGAAATTCATGTGTCTTTTATTTTAAAACTTTACAATTCTGTGCTAATTTGTGTTTGTCTATCACACAAAATATATTATAATTTGTAGCTGCATTACGACAAAATACGAAAAAGCTAGAGGTCTAAATGTTTGCAAAGCTTCCTATGGGAGACAACAGCATAAAGACTTGCGCCGAGAAAGGCCCGTGTGACTTGAACAAAGTAGATCTGAAATATAAAGCAGTAGCCACCAATGAGATGTCATGTGGTGATAAATTAGGAGCACAGAGAGAATATTCGAACAGGGAAATTAAGATATCAGGGCAGAACCATCTGATTAGATATTGGATGTAATTAGAGCGTCTCGAGGACATCTACTTCCGTTTGCAGGAAGCTTCCGTGAACCAATCAATACGGGTCATTATTAATTTACACCACTTTCAAACTCTATTATAAAGAAAGGGGGTATTTATGGTGGAGGGAATTAGATTAGATTTATCTTCAGTGTCCTCTGTACGAGGAAAAAGGGAGACATCTTTAATGCAGCCCTGACCTAAGCTGTCTGAGTGCACAGCCGAAGCTTTGCTCTTCAGCCACAATGGGCTGCGGGCGGCGTGAGTCTCTGCTATTGTCTACAGTGTTTATATCAGAGCGCCCGTGTCACTGACACAACCTTTATCATTTCCTCTTGCCTTTGTCTTTTGATCTGCAGCACAAACAGACAGCAAGCTGTGGGCTATCGACCGCAAGAGTTACCACTCTGTTCTCACACAGTGTGGCCTCAGCCACCTTTCTCATTCAGTGGAGCTGCTGAGAAGGTGAACGTCAGACCCTCGAAACTCTAAATATTGTCTGCTGCTTCTGTTTATTCTGTACTCCCGGATCTCTATTGTTGTTTTGTTTGTAAGAAATCATTGAAATATAGATTAGGATTTTTCTTCTTTTTTTTTTTATGAAAGTAAAAACTTATTTTTATACATAAAAAAAAATTATTGTGTCTTTTTTGTGTGTGTGTCTGTGCAGCATTCCCTTTCTTCAGTCGTTGCCAGACGATGTCATCAGTAAACTGTTTGATCAGGTGCAAGAGGTACAGATTGATTTTTTCTTTCTTTTTTTTTTTTAAACAGAATTTGGTAACATTTTCAGCTTCAATCTTCCTTTGTGTCTCGTCTGTGGAAAAGTGAAGACATTCACTGTCCTTTTCTTTTCTTGCTTTTTAAAAAAATTCCTCCTGCTGTAGACAAATTACTCAGATGGCGACTACGTCTTTCGACAGGGAGCTGTCGGAGACACCTTTTACATCATTAGCAAAGGCCAGGTAAAGTTAAATGTTCTCTAACAGCAGCTCAGCTAGAAAGAGTCTTTCAGAGAAATGGGCTCAGACCGAGTCCAAATGTCAGAGCAGCAATAGTAATTATTTTATGATAGGGAAAATAAACTGTGCCTCTTTTCTGCAGTGTTCATCACCATTTTTTTCTTTAGGTGAGTGTGACAGAGAAGAAGCCAGGCCGTCAGGAGCAGATCGTTTTGGCCGAGCTCTCAGAGAGACAGTGGTTTGGAGAAAAAGCTCTTTGGGGGTAAGAAACAGAGTTAGTGAGCGTCAAAGATATCACTATATAAAGAGAGTTAATTAAATATGTATACACACATGTCCCACTTTGTTACAATGACACAACCTATTGGCACAAATCTGCCAATCACATGGGATTAACATTTGCTGAAGTTCAAACTGAGCATCAGGGTGAGGAAAAGAGGAATTTAAGAAACTTTGTACATCACTGTTTGTGCCAGGCAGATTAGTCTTAATGTTTCACCTCAAAAACACAAAATCTTACTATTGTTGTTTTGGGTAAATAATTCCTTAATATTGATGAAAAAAGTACTTGTTCCATTTTTACCTATGACAAGATATTTTTCCCATGTTATATGTGAGATAATCTGCCATTGGAACTAGGACTTTGTCATCCATATTAAAGAATTATTCACTTAAAACAAGCTCCTGTTTCTTGCTGAAAAGCTACTTGTAAGTTAGTTTTGTCTTACTTCAGGTGTACTAAGATATTTGCACTAGAAATTGACTTCACATTGACTTCAAGCATTTTTCCTGCCATGTGCCATCTTCATCCAGAAATGTTTCTCTGTTGGACCTGTTAACGCTCACAACTGTATGTAAAACTTTCTCCACTTTGAGCGTTGGGGCTCCAACTGTTTCTCCATTATGATAGGCACAGATGGTAACGGTCTCCAAATCGTTCCTGTTCATTCTAACCAATTTTCTTTAATCTGTGGAACAGTCTGTATCTTTGGGGCTGGGGTAGCACATCTGAATAATTTTTACTTATGTACATATGTTAAAAAGCAAGGATCTTTGCATCTTCAGTTGATGTGTACTGTCTCTGGAAGATTTAATATATTAGTGAATTTACAGTTTTCTTTCTTGGTTCTTTACTGACTTTCTGAATGTTTCTGTTGTTTAGAGTATTGGTCAATCCAGTGGGTGTTGTCAAACCGATCATTACTGCTTGGAAGATAAACTTCCTGCAGCTCTCAGTCATAGCCACTAATAGGAAAATAAAAAGCCCTGCCCTAACCATCGATGCTTCTTGTTTATAGATTATGTGTTCATATCTGAGTTTCTCTACAATCTTTGAATCTGTGTAGAATATAAAGAATAAATTATAATCTTTGCAGCCAGTTCTTGGTTTTAAAAATGACCTCACAGCCTAAAAATGAATTACTTTCCTGCAGTTGATGAATGCATGTCTGATTCTTATGTGTTAATTATATTCTTATGATTTTCTTTATTTCTCTCTGCTCTCAGAGAAACCATCCAGCCTGTAAATGTGATGGCTGTTGGAGAAGTGACATGCTTGGTAATAGACAGAAGGTAAGGTGACAATCTGGGCAGACTAAATAACGTGCATTTGGAGAGTATCTGATTCAGTTTCTATGCTCTTATGTGTTGCATACATACTCTGATTCTTTTTGTCCAGAAAAATGAGGAATATTCACTACTTGCTTGCGTTTCAGGACCTTTAGAGATGTTATCGAAGGTTCAGGATCTGACAGCCCTCCACAGCTGCAGCAGAGCAATGAATCAAAAGTCGAGTGAGGAGCAACGCAGTAGCACCTTATTTTACATCCACAGAAAAACACAATTTCATCTGTATTTTCCTCCTCAGGCCAAAGGAGGATCCTGCCTCCCTGGCAGCTTCCACCTTAAGCGATTTCCAGATTATTCGTACCCTGGGACTCGGGGAGTTTAGTCACGTGGATTTGGTAAAGAGTTGATCTCTCTCTCACAATCGCACCGATCCCAGAGCTCCTGCCTCATTGAGATTCTTTCTTTCCACAAGGCTATTGATTTTTTTCCGCGCTCCCCCCCCTCCTCCATTGCTTTCAGGTGCAACTAAAGAGCAACACCAGGTGTGTTTTTGCCATGAGGGTCCTCAAGAGGAAGCTGATTCTCAACAGCGGTCAGCGAGAGCACATTCTGAGAGAGCGCAGCATCCTGATGGAGGCCCGCTGTCCATTTATTATCAGGTATCACTCATTCAGCAACTCGTTTCAAAAAATTGCGAAAGTATTTACACCCTTTAAACGTTTTCACACTTTGTTATGCCACAACCATAAATCTTAATCTGTACCTGTTGGGATTTTTTATTTTTTATATTTTTTGGAGAGACCAACTCAAATAACACATAATTGTAGCAACGTTTGAAAAAGTGGGTTTCAAGCTTTTTTTAGGTGTAAAAATCTCAGTGTGGCATTTGTTTTTTTAAACCACTACTTCGAAGGCCTCGAATGTTTGTTAGAGAACAATATTACGCAAAAGGCATCACGAAAACCAAAGAACACAGCAGAGAGGTGCACTGATTGAGCACCTGAATGTTAAAAGAGTATGGGACAACTGTATACCTACCAAGACATGACCACCCACCCAAACTGACTGGCTGTTCAGGAAGAGAAGCAGCTGTAAAGGCCTTGGTTGCTCTGGAGAAGCTCATCACAGCACAAATAGAAGTTGTGCACAGACAGGAAAAAGGCAGAGTCAGATTAATGGAGATGATAATTTATTGGAACGAAACTCACAAAACAAGAGACAAGCACAAGGAGAGCTGGGGGACGCCCTACAGGAACAATTAAGAAACAGGAGTACAAGAAAGTTAGCATGGATGTGCACAACAAAGGAAAGCTCTGACAAGGAGGTGATTCAGCAGACTGACCCTTAAATGACAAAAAGATGATTAGGCAACAAGATAACTATGAGACTAATCGAGAGAATGAAGAGTAGATGCGTGAGTAACAAACTAACAAGCTGAGGGAAAGTGACTAATTGACACAAAATAACACAAAGGGAACTCAAGGGAAAACAAAAGGATCAAACTAAACCAAAAGCTAAAGTCTAACACTAAAATAATACAAAGTATAATTTCCCTTCAGGTAATTATGCATCACTTTTATTTGTCTACCAAATAAACCCCCTTTTAAATACAATACATACAAGTCCATTAAAGTGGTTACAATACGAAAAAGGGGGAAACATTCATGTAGAATGGTGACTTTAACAATTTTCTTTATGTTTTGACTACAGACTGTACAAGACATTCAGAGATGCTGACCATCTTTATAGTTTGACAGAAGCTTGTCTGGGTGGGAATTTGTCTCGCCTCCTCAAAGAGAAGTGAGTATGTGAAGCTGCAGCGAGGTCACATTTTATCATGTGCACTGAAAATAATCAATGCCAGGCTCACTGTTTTCATTCAGACTTTATTACAATGAAACAAAAACCACTGATTGTTTTGGCTTTTGTCACGTCACCTTTTGTTGCTGGTTGTAATGTATTCTGCTTTGGTCAGTCACAGCTGCTTTTATTGATTTTCTCAGACTGATAACTCCTCCTTTATTTTTCAGAGGATCCATAGACGACGGCAGCACCAAGTTCTACACAGCTTGTGTTGTCGAGGCCTTGAGTTTTCTTCACTGTCGAGGAGTCGTATATAGAGATGTCAAGCCCGAAAACGTCGTTCTGGATGAGCAGGGTTATGGCAAACTGGTAACTACCAACTGATTCAAGCTCAGCGTTTTACCGTGGTAATGCTGACCGCATGGATGTGTACCGTAGATTGGCTCCAGATGTCTGAAGCGGGTTGAGGTGGGTAAGAAGACGTGGACGTTCTGCGGCACTCCGGGCTACATGGCGCCTGAAATCATCCTGAGCAAAGGCCACAGTACATCCGCAGATCTCTGGTCTCTGGGTGTTTTTGTGTTTGAGCTTCTCAGCGGTAGGTAAGCTTTTAACGTTTGAGGAGCCATTATTTGTTAAAGTGTTGTTGGGGATGATCTTAAAGTAAAAAGTCTTGTCAAGAGACATGACATCTTGGGGGTTTTTCACATTCAGACTACAACCACAAACTGTGCATGCTTTGTTGAGATTTATTGTGATACAAAGAGAAATCTGAAAAGGTTATGGATTTGTCATGAGCTCGTTTACTCTGATTAGTGTAAATAAAATCTAGGGAGCTGGGAATTGGTAAATTAGTAAGTAGGAGTTCATTTTTATGGTAGATTAGAGAACATTATTAAAGGAAAGGCATCGTGAAGACCTGTGAATATAGCACATAAATTTCTCCAAAGTAATGGAGAAACTTAAAGTTGGAACGTGTTCTGAATCGTCATCCAGAGCGTTGAACATCTCACAAAGATGTTCATTAGTTATTCAAAAAAGAAAACTTATGGAACACGAGGAAAAGCATTCTTTAGTCACATGGGACCAAAGCTGAACTTGTAAAACATTATATAATTTGTAGAAAACAGTCAGAGGCGCAATGGAGGGGTTCTGAAAAATATATACTAATGTGTTAGAATCTGAAATCCCTGGATTTGATAACTGCACATGGATACTCTTCATCCAGTCTAAGTTTGAGCTGTTTTGCCAAGAAGAAATAGAGCAAAGAAATGTAGCCATATTTGTCAAGCAGGGTTTGATGTAAAAGCTGGCAGATGCCCCTTAAGGCTGTAATTTCAATGTAGTTCTGCGAAGCTGTGACTAAGGGCTGAACACAAATAAAAAAATAAATAATTAAAAAAAACATTTATTGGTTTCTTTCCACCTTAGAAATGTCCATCTCTATTTTATCTGCCACTCCAAATCCATATAAAATGCATTCGAGTTTATGGTTGTAACCATACATAATGTGGGAAAATTCAAGGGGTGTACATACTTTTTGCGCATCACTGTAGATCAAAGGTTCCCGACTGGATGGTGTTTCTCTGTCCAGGCTCCCGTTTGATGGCTCTGACCCGCTGAAGGTTCTCACCGCCACTGTTAATGGCGTCGATCAGATCGAATTCCCAAAGTCATTCCGCAAAGATGCCTGCGATTTCATACAGAAGCTTTGCAGGTATAAATACTTTCTAATAAGAAAAAACAAACAAACAAATAAAACAAAAATAAAAAGCTGTATTTCGATGGATTTTAGTGTTTCTTCATCTTTATCCCGCTTCCATCACTTGAGGACATGAAGTGGGTGATTAATTCATTGCTTGTTTATTTTTATTTTGCTTTTCATCACCCAGGGGCAACCCTTCAGAGAGACTGAGCAGCCAGAGAAACGGGGCCAAGGCCATTCAGAAACACAAGTGAGAGCATGGATTGATTTCATTAAATACAGATTCTGGGCTCTGCTTGGAAACGCAGTGTTGCCGATGATGATGATGATGATGATGATGATGGTACTCTGTTTTTCTTCAGGTGGTTTGATGGATTCAACTGGGATGGACTCTGCAAAAGGAAATTAACCCCTCCACTTATTCCAAAAGTATGACATAATGAGCTTGACTCACTTCATTTTCTGTTTTGTCATACATTTTTTGTTTGTTTGTTTGTTGTTTACTCCGCTGTTTTGCCTTTCAGGTCAACCTTCCTCTGCAAAGCGCTACATGCGCACTTTACCCTGCAGAGGCCGTGGAGCTCTGTACGAACTGGGAGGATTTCTGACAACAGATTTCAGACCGAGACCCTTTTCCTGAGGCAGTACCTGCAGATACTGCTTTGAGACATTAACCACCCTCCTCCGCCCGAAAGCTTAGACTGTTTCAGGCGCAGAAAACCTTTATAGATTTACACGCATAAGAATTCAGTGATTTTTTTTTTCTTCTGCAAGTCCAAAGAAAACCAATAAACAAATATGTTGTACGAAACTTTCCCCCCCTCTCTCCCTCTTCAGTGTTCATTCTTGTAGTGAGACTTGTGGGGCGGTGTCTTCCTAAAAAGTAGAAATGGACCCAAAGGCTGACGTCTGCTCCTGTTCAAGACTTGCAAACAAAATCTCCGAAAGGAAGAAAAAGGAAGTGTGCGTTCTAACTTCAAAATAAAATAACTCATCCGCAGGTGTTAATGAGATCACAAATCTAAGGTTGATTTGGCCTGCGTGTATTTATTACTTATGCTACCGTATTTTCCAACACACGCACTGGTGCTTAATTTAAAAACAAAGCAACTCCCATGACCGATGACGATTCATATTAATTTATGATTACTATTATTATCATTGTTATTGTTGTACTACTTAATTTGTCAATGAACAATTGGACATGAAAGTGCTGAAATTGTGGATTTATATTTTAAAGAAGCAATTGAAAGCGTTTAGCTTAATTTATCATTCTTATTCGACAAAGCAAGACATTCCATGTCATATTTCAGGCCTCGTCGCAGTTTCTGAATGAATTTTACTCTACACGTTTAACCGGAAATAAAAGCTTTTTGTGTGGTAACTTGACACGTGAACAAATTCTGATGGATCTCCTGCAGGAAAACTAAAACTCGCGGTGCAATCAAAGTTCCTTTCCCAGGCCTGCTTCGTACTCAGGTAAGTTTCGTCTGCAGCTTCGCACCATGTTGGGTTGTTCTGAGTTTGAAAAACCAACGCTTTTATTATTATTTTTTTATTATTATTGCTTTGGAGGTTCAGCTTTCCAAGCAGAAAAGTTTTGCAGCAGCAGGCTGTTAAGACTTTTCCCAGACTCCGGAGCTGAGAGCCTGTTGCAGCTTTTAGATCTCAGAGGAGATGAATGAAAATGTGCTTACACGGTTGTACTAGGTGTAAATAAACGCACTTTAGCGGTTTTAATGTGAACAAAGGTGAGGTTCTTAGACGAAACAATTTGCACAATACCAACTGTAATATTCGGTTTTTATTGATTAGCTTAAAATGAACTGGTTGTGATTTATAACCCCGCAGAAACGTTTAATTTATGGTATATTACTTTCTTCTTGTTATTTTTTTTTCTTATTTTGTTATTTTTGTGAATAAATGATAGATAATGGTACTTTATTCAACAACTAATTATTGCACGTTTTAAATTTGAGAAATGCAACTTTTTCTTTTACAGGAAAACAGAATCATCTCTCCCCATCCAAAAAAATAAAAAAATAAAAATCTAAGTTAAAATATTTTTTATTTATTTCTTCATAGTAAGTTTTGTTTTTTTAGTACTTGGATTACTTGAATGAACAGCTGTAGCTTGTCGTTCTTGATGAATAGAATACATGAAGCATACTAAACATACTGTAGCTTTTTAAAGAAAATGTGTGAAAATAAGCAAAAAGAAAATCAATCATGGGAAAAAGAATAACGTTTGAATTTAGTTGGACCGCCTCAAGTATTTTTGACACAAGTTGTTTGAAGCATTAACTCCAACCCCACACCCCCTCGCCCTCATAGCCCCCAAATTTGGTATTTATCCTCTCCCGACTCTTCAGATCAGTTTTACGCCATTCAAGTATATTTTCAGCTCTGTGTCCACTGAACATTGTCGTGACAAATTATTCTACCATCCAGGGTAATTACTGCCATATCCCCTGATCTTTTACCTGACATTTAGCTTTGTATCACTAGAGATAGTGGGCATCTAGTGGTTTTAAATTTTTCACGTTTCTTGGATCTGCACCGTGCTACAGACCAGGTAGAAGTCTTCCAACACTGTATGTGATTTATTTATTGTGTGATTGAAATTCAGTTCCTGGCCTCGCTGCAGCTGCATTACTTGGTTGCTCAGCCTTACTGTAGACTGGGGCATTTTTCCTTGGGGAGGATTTATTCGGTGCATTGCCTCCCAGTCAGTTCTACTGGAGAGAAAAACCGAGTGTTTATAATATCCAGAATCTTCTGATATACACCAAAAACCTGCTTAGGATTGATACATTTTTCATTTCCTTCCTTTTATGGGAAGGCTGCACTTTCTGTGGCCTTGCCTCTGGCTCAAATCTTACTTATCTATTCTAACAATGTTTATTACAGCTTACAGGTTTTCATCAGCTGATCATTTCAACATTGAATAGCAAAAATTCAATCAATTCAACTGGAAAATCAGCTCAGTATCAATTGCTGGGGAAAAAAAATACATCTGGTTGCCTCATAGGTTACCATAGTAATGGCAAGTAGTGGCACACAGTCATGCGCTAAACATCCTGCAGCACTAGCAGGGTTGCCCTGATCAAGCCAGCACTCGTCTAGGCCCGCCTGAAGTCTGCCGATAACCGTCTGGATGATCCAGACGAGGCGTGGGACGAGGTCATGAAGTTACATGAGACCAAAATATAACTGCTTGGTGTAAAGTCCTTTTGCCGTGTTTGGAGGGAGGAGAAACATAAGAACAATCCCAGGAACACCGTCCCAGAAATATGCTTTTGGGTGCTTTTCTGCAACGAGGTCAGAACGACTACACTGCATTGAGCAGGGGATGAACGAGGCCTTGCATGGTGAGATTTTGGGCAACAGCTGCCTTCTGTCACTGAGAGTATTGAAGATTGGTCGTGACTGGGTCTTCCAGCATGACGGTGACCCAAAGCATACCACCAGGGGAACTAAGGAGTGGCTCTTTAAGAGGCATTTCAAGGTTCTGGAGTGGCCCAGTCAGTCTCCAGACCTGAGCCCAATAGAACATCTTTGTAGGGAACTGAAACTCTGTGTTGCCTAGCGACAGCCCTGAAACCTACAAGACCTGGAGATGATCTGAGTGAAGGAGTTTGTCAAAATCCCTTCTGCAGTGTCAAAACCAAGTCAGAAACTTTAAGAAACATTTAACCTCCGTAACTGTAAACAAAGGTGTATAAAATACATTTCATTCAGTAAAATGCTTCTTAATTACATAAATGTGATATTGTGGATTTGTTTTTGATGCCCCTCTTCCTCTCTTTGTATTAATACATTTTAAAGTGCATGTTAATCATTATTTTTGATGTTTCCTGTTTTTCCATAAATTACTGAAATTGTTCTAAAGCACTAAATTAAGGCAGGAAATATGTGAAGGTGATGCCTGGAAAGTGGAATGTAGCCTTAGTGTACAATGTCATGTTAGAGTCTCGTTCTTCTTAGTGGCAGGAAAGTGAAGATTTAATACTAAGGAAGAAAAAAAGAGGAACAAAGCCTTTATTGTTTGAGGCCTGGATGTTTTTGAGTGAATTTGAGACTCATAGAGACCCCATTTTGTCCTTTGGAAAGTCAAGAAGCAAGATGTAAAGCCGTCCCTCATTACATTTTTCTCCCCCGTACCGCGTGAAGGTAAAAAATAGCTTTACTATGAAGCACATATCTACACAACAAGCACAATCCGACAACTTATTGGAGGGAGTCTGTGCAGAGTCCACTGCTATTGTTTCTGCCTGTTCTGTGGTGTTGCTGCAAAACCTCCCCCCTGCACATGTCACCTCCTGTAGTTTTCTGGGTCATTCCCTGCCGTTGCTCAGATCACCACAGAAGCTTACTTAGCCACTGCACAAAGCGTTTACTTACACTTCATCTCATTCTTGTAATGATCATGACCAAAAAGTTTGTTTCAATCATAAAAAACACTTTGTTGCTGATTGCCAGTGCAAATACGTTTTTTTTTAAGACATGCATTGTGTTCAAAGCAGCCTTCAGAGTTATTATTTTTACCACAGTCACGTTGAGTATTTGACAGTAAACTCTTGAAAATAATTTACAGCTGCCACTTTTAAATGGAAAGTGGAATTTAAATTAAAATTCTTCACCTTTTTTATTGTCCCGTCTTTCCTGTTTTCAAGCTGCATCGCAGATGTTGCCAAAACACATTCCAGAGTTTTCTGACCATAATTATCACTCTACAAAACATGTCTAAGGTTAAATTTTACACGGAAAAATGTGCATTTGCTGCGAGAATGCAGCTTGAATGCATTCTCTGCATTCAATGCATTTTTTAGTGAAAATTGCAGAGACATTTGAAATTCACTGCAGAAGACATGCAGAAATGTAAGAAAATAGGCGGAAGCAGCAAAATAAAGCAAAAGCCTGCAAAGCGCAAAGAGAAAAACTGTAGGAGAGAGGAAACTTTAAGTCAATGCAAAAATCGCACCCAGAGTATTAGAAATTCATGCAGAACACTGTTTACAAAGCTAAATTAAGGTCATAAATTAGCTAAAACGCTAAAGCTAGTTGAAATACAAATGATAGCCTCTAGGTTAGGATTAACATCTTGACCTACAGTAACATACTCCATGTCGTGTGTGAAAACAAAAAAAAAACATGTAAAAGCTAAAATTAGCTAAAGATCTAAAACTAGGTAAAATAATCGTAGCATCTAGGCTAGCACATGCATGTTGACTTACAGTAACACACTCCAAATTATCAGGTTGGCCAACATTAATTCATTAATTCACTACTCTTAAGAAATATTTGTTTTTAGGTCAAAAATAGCTCGAAAGCTAATGAGATAAAAGTTCTGCAAGTATTCAAGCTTTCAGTAGCATTTAAGGTGGGAAGGAATTTATGAAATTCATAAAAGTTATAAGAAAAACCCCCTGAAATAAACAGAATTAGCTAAAGGATATGACTGACTACATTTTAAAGTTTGAATGCCGTTTCTAGCTGAACCTACGCGGAAGTAGTTAGCTGTAAAAAAGGATAGCTGAATTTTACATAAATTATGGGATGGTTCATTCATTTCAGCGGGACCCAAGATGATCACATTTATTTTACAAACGATTTACCAAAAGCAGACTATGGTAAAAGTTTAATGGTTGAAATAGCACAAAGTAAGCAGAAGTAATGTGGTGAAAAGTGTATGGAAAAAAAGTGGAGGCGCTCAAATGAACTAATGAGTCAAAATACATATGTCTTTTCAGAGAAGAGGACATGCTCTGAAAGTAAACCCAGAAACTAATCAGTCACTCATACGAAGTG